ACAAAACAGGATAAGATCTTGAGGTGGGTGTGTATTGGGCTGAGATATCAAGTTGTGAAACTTGATCTTCATGGCAATGATTCACCTACTAGGCTAGTGGAGTTGCCACTTGCTTTGAGTCTGTTAGTGCCAAAATACTGTCCCCACCTCAAGGAAGTCCCAAGGAGACCAATAATAACCTTGAAGCCATTCTGGGATCTGCCTTGAGAACTGTTTCAGTGCAAATCGGAGCTATCGAGGTAATGTCAGCAAGACAAGCACTACTGATTTACTTAAGTAGTAATCTGGTAAAGCCCAAAAATTAGGGGTTTGGACCTGCTTAGTCACGTTGGACATGAACAAGGCTATAGAACTTCTGCGTGCTGAAGGCAAAAAGGAAAAATCCCCAGCAACTGTTGGCGTTGCTCTTCAGAGGCATGGACAAGGGTCACAGAAAAGACAGAAGAGGAGCTTTTCTATAGAGAAATCCTGAGTAATTCTGGGTGGACAGGAGGAGAAAGGTACTCCTAGCATGCTTTCCCGGTCAAGTCCTGCAGTGGCAGTCACATAACTGCAGAGACCTCCTCCACTTAAGCTGCAGTTGCACATGGAAAAACATGGAATTGATGAAAGATCTGCTAGCTTTTTAAAAAGAAAAATTAAACACCTGTTTTTATTTTAAATGAGATTCCAATTGTGAAAACTGGTATGTTCAGGTTTTTCACTTACTTAAAACGTCAATTTGAGATCAGTTGCTTTACCCAGTATAAATTTGCTTTAAGTGCAGATGGATATAACTGATCAAATAGAAACTCCCTCTGCTTTGTGTGTAAATCCCGGACACTGAGATTGAACAAGCCTCAATACATGAAAACGTGTTTAAGGTTACTGCCATGTGTACACAGTAAGTCTGACATAGCTTTGAAGCAGTACCACTAAAAGCACTATTATGAGTGCAATGTCATCTCTGTGTCTTTGTGTTTCAGTTGCTACCCTGTCCTCTCCAAGAAGAGTGAAGTTTTTACAAGAGGGCATTAAGGGAAGGGATCTAGTAGGATATGTAGCTACTCAGTTTTGATTTAGACTTTGGACTAGGCTGACCAGAAAATCAACCATCCCTGCATTTAAGATTTTTCTAGAATTAGTATCTTGGTGGGCACAAGCTCTGTTGTTGTGCTAAAACAGATGTGTTTAGACTGTAAGAGACTCAGAACTGTTATGTTCTCAAATATCTATAGCTTTTGGTGCTGCAGCAAGCGGTAGCAAGATTTAGCTCAGAATAAACAGGCTCCCTGGCATAAATTTGTGCTTCCTGTTTGCTTTCCATATTAACTTATATTAAACTACAAGTCCAAAGAGCCCAGTGGAGAACTTCAGTGGAATTACCAGCATGCCTTTGAATGCTCTGAAGTTCACCCTTGCCAGTTACTCCAGGATACTGAAGGACACAAACCTCTGTCTGGTGCTGACTGATTTCTGAACAACCCAGTCTTGCTAGCAGCAGCCTGGCATCAACCCAGAGGTCTGAGCCCTGCAACACGCCTCAGAGCCCTGCAGCTGGAAGCAATGCCTGGCTTTTCCCAGCTACATGTGAACTCGGCGCCCAGATACGCTCAGAGTTGCCTGTGTAATTCAGGAAACTGTTTGGGTTGTAAAAACTCACTTGGGAAAACAGGTCTATGGTGGAACAAGAAATTTGCAAAATTACTCCTCTCTAACTGAAGTCTTACTAGATGTTTCATGATCAATTCCTTCATAACTCTGTTAGGAAACTCTAGGAAACATCCTCTGCTCTGTGAAAAACGCATACTTGGCTCCTGAATCACAATCTGGCAGTGCTGACACTTGCGTACGTTCTTTTGGAAGTGTACTTTTGGTTCGGAGTGATTAGTTTCTCTAAAATCAGTGCCAGAGTACTTTGGGTTTTTACTTTAAAAGTATGGTCATGACAGATATGAGATATCAGAATTATGGAAATAGTGATGTGTGCCAGATTCTACAAATGACTGTTTTATCTTCAACACTTATCAAGTATTATGTACATCCAATATATAAGTATTATTCTTCCTTGAGACTGCTGGGTTTCTGGCACACTCCCTGGTCTCATGCTACGTGGTGGAGAGCTTTCCTGGTCATTGCTAGCTACTGGGAGACACTTCTTTCTCTGACCCCCACTGTCACCATCTTTCAAACTTTGTGCACCTTAACTGGAAGCACTGGTTTTATCCTTTGGATATTGTGGAACAAAGCATTGGGCAGATGAACACTTAGTGCACTCTAATATCTTTGTTCTTAAGATTGCTATGGCATATGAAGTTCCCTCAATTTAGCCAGTCACCTTAACACCAGCCTTGATTCAAAAACAGTGAAGGCAAAAGAGGAGAAAAGCATTTTGCACAGCTAAAATAGACATGAGAGCTTGCAAAGGCTTGTAATCGCACTCAACAACAGGATAAGCTGGTAAACATTTCACAGCTTTCCCCTCCGAGAGGTCCTCAGCTCAAGCCAGCTCTTCATCCTGCTATTGTCAACATGTAAGAAAACCAGCATGAGAATCCCTTCTTTTCTCTACTTGGTGTTAATGAAACCAAGATGGAAGCAAACTAGCCCTTTTCTACCCAAAAAAGGCCAACCTTCCCACTTGGGAAAGAGTAGTGGTTCTGCGAGTCTGGAACAGAGGATCTCCTCTACCATTTAGTAAGTTTAAACATGTCTTTTTTTCCTTTCCAAATCCTTAACCAAGTTGACCATCCCTTCACTTTGGTTTGGAAATTCTTCAAATCCCAAGATGAAGCTGCTTCTTACATTACATTTTTATAATTCATATTAAAATGTATGTTTACTTCAGCTGGAAGGTAAATAAAGTTAATGCATATGGATCTTGAATAAAAGCAAAGATGGGAATAAGCAATCACTCTGAGTACCCTAAAGTCATGTCTTTGAGGAGTGACTAAAAGTGAGCTTATGAGAACCAAAAAGAAGGAGGTGAAGGCAAACTCAAGGAGGAAAAGGCACTAAATAGAAAACTATGGACAGAGAAATCTCTCCGTGTCTGGGGAAATTTGCATTTCTATGTTTGAACATGTTTAATTTCACCATCAAAGTAAAGAATGAGAACTATATAGAGTTACTATGCAAATCCTGAAGGAAGAAACTATTGTCTGGACTGAAAACTTGGCACAGCGGAAGTGACAGCTGACCAAACCAGACAAAAAGTTAACACTTAAACAATGGAAAGCAAACAAAGCTCTGCTCCAGATAGAGTGGTTGAGCAACTTAAGGTGATGGAATATGGGAATGGTGGCACCAGGCACCCAGCTGTCCTGGTAAATACCAGGCAGAAGCAAGAGTCCCTGCACTCACGAGTGGTGTGCCAGATTTGCCAAGGACTGGGTTCATCAGTGCTCTACTGGTCTCAAGGGCAGGCGCAATTACAGAATGACGGAATCAGGGAATTGTTGGAGTTGGAAGGGACCTTCTAGAGATCATCTAGTCCAACTCCCCTGCCAAAGCAGAATTGCCTATAGCAATTACTCAGGACTGCATCCAGGCGGGTCTTGAAGATCTCCAGAGAAGGGGATTCCACGACCTCCCTGGGCAGCCTGTTCCAGTGCTCTGTCACCCTCACCTCATATTTGAGTGGAACTTCCTATGTTGCAGCTATGTGCCTATTGCCCCTCGTCCTGTCACTGGGAACCACTGAAAAGAGTCCGGCTCCAGCCTCCTGCAAACAGCCTTTTAGATACTTGTAGGCATTACTAAGGTCTCCCCTCAGCCTTCTCTCCTCCAGGCTAAAGAGTCCCAGCTCTCTCAGCCTTTCCTCGTAAGGGAGGTGCTCCAATCCCTCAATCATCTTTGTTGCCCTACACTGTATCCTCTCCAGCAGTTCCTTGTCTCTCTTGAACTGGGGAGCCCAGAACTAGACACTGTATTCCAGTTGTGGCCTCACCAGTGTGGAGTAGAGGGGAAGAATGACCTCCCTTGACCTACTGGCCACACTCTTCCCTGTGCAGCCCAGGATCCCATTGGCCCTCTTGGCGACAAGGGCACATTGCTGGCCCATGGATAGTTTACTATCCACCAGGACCCCCAGATCCTTTTCCTCTGAAGTGCTTTCCAGCAGGTCCACTCCTAACTTGTATTGGTATCTGGCAATACGTTCAGCATGTCCTGAATGGTTGGTGGTGCAATGGGTTATTTGAATCTGGTTATTTGAAGAGGTGAAAGGTCTCTGCTCCCACCAGGCTGCCAAAAGGGCATTAGCCCCGCACCGTGGCAAAGCTGGCCGCAGGGCTTTCACCCCTCCTGAGAGCAGCCCTGTCAGCTCAGGCAGCCTGAGGGAAAAACGGAGCCCTCACAGCTCCGAAAGTCACCTCAGCCGCCCCAGGATGGCAGCTTGAAGGAGAACTAAGCCCAGGCGTGGCGGCTAAAGGCAGTGGGTCGATGCCAGGGAAGGGTTTTGCGTTAGCTCGAACTTCTGGGAGATGCCGCAAAGGAGGCCACCGTGAGGGCCAGCTCGCCTGCGCCGGGCCCTCGCACGCCGTCGGGGCCGATGGGGGCGGTAGGGCTGTGGGGAGCCACCGCTCCAGCCAGCCCGAACCGGAGCAGCCTGCCCGGCCCACACCCGCCTCCAGCGGGCAGCGGGCCG